GAAATTTATAGCCTTAAATGATAACACGCAAAAAGGAAAAAGACTTACTGAAACAAGCATCCAACCCAAAAAGTTAGAAAAATAGCAGGATAAACCCAAACAAAGTAGAATAGAAGGAAGGAAATGAGGTAGTTCAGTAGTAGATTTCTCTCCTTCCATATGGGAGACCCAGGTTCTATATGCAGCCAATGTACCTCAAGCACAGCCACCAATCATCTATCAGTGGATGCTTGCGTGTTGTTATTATGCTGAACAGGTTTCAGCAGAGATTACAGATTATGACAGAATAGGAAGAAAGGACTGGTGATCTACTCCTGAAAATCAACTGATAAAAACCCTATGTATCACAATGGTCCAATCCCATTGTGCAAGGGGTTAGCATGAGTCGGGGGCCAACTTGCAGCAGCTAACAACAATAACAAACAAAGAGTAGAAAGAGTTCACAAAGTCAAAAGTTGGTTATTTGAAAATTCCAAACTCCTGACAAGATTAAACAGGGGCGTAAGAGAAAGACAGACAGACACTAAACAATACAAATGAAAGGACAGGAGGAAGTAAGTACAAATGTTACAGATATTAAATATGAAACACATAAGAACAGGGTATTTGTAATGAATTTCTGCCAATATAGTTTAATACAGTTTAAATAAAACTGATAAATTCCTGGAAAAAATAAACTACCAAAACCAACTCAAGAAGAAAGAGAAAAACCTGAGTAGCTCTAAAATTATTTAAGAAATGGAATCAATAATGAAATAGAAAACACACATCCAGGCAAGTTCTACCAAAAAATCATGAAACAGACAATCCAGACTTACACAAACATTTCCTAAAGACAAAAAGAAGAAGAAATATTCTCCAAATTTATTGTATAACATTAGCATAAGCTTAAGGAGCCCTGGTGGCACAATGGTTAAGCATCTGGCTGCTAACCAAAAGATTGGTGGTTCAAACTCACCAGTAGTTCTACAAGAGAAAAGACCTGCCAATCTGCTCCCATAAAGATTACAGCATAGGACAACTTGTCCAAGGCAAAGTCATGGAAGCTCCACAGACACATCCAAACTCTCTGAGGGACCAAACTGCTGGGCTAAGGACTGTGGGGACCATGGTCTCAGGGAACATCTAGCTCAGTTGGCATAACATAGTTTATAAAGAAAATGTTCTACACTCTACTTTGGTGAGTAGCATCTGGGGTCTTAAAAGTTTTTGAGTGACCATCTAAGATACTCCACTGGTCTCATCCCATCTGGAGCAAGGGAGTATGAAGAAAACCAAAGACACAAGGGAAAGCTTAGTCCAAAGGACTAATAGAGCACAACGACCAGAGCCTCCACCAGACTGAGTCCAGCACAACTAGATGGTGCCCAGCTACCACCACCAACTGCTCTGACAGGTATCACAATAGAGGGTCCTGGACAGAGCTGGAGAAAAATGTAGAAAAAAATTCTAACTTACAAAAAAAGACCTGACTTACTGGCCTGACAGAGACTGGAGAAACCCTGAGAGTATGGCCCCCAGACACCCTTTTAGCTCAGTAATGAAGTCACTCCAGTAACGACATTCACCCTTCAGCCAAAGATTAGACAGCCCCATAAAACAAAACAAGACTAAAGGGGCACACCAACCCAGAAGCAAGGACTAGACGGCAGGAGGGGACAGAGAAGCTGGCAACGGGGAACCCAAGGTCGAGAAGGGGAGAGTGTTGACATGTTGTGGGGTTGGTAACCAATGTCACAAAACAATATGTGCACTAATCGTTTAATGAGAAGCTAGTTTGTTCTGTAAACCGTCATCTAAAGTACAATAATAAAAAAATAAATAAAGATTACAGCATAGGCAACGCTATACGGCAGTGCCACTCTGTCCTATAGAATCAACTAGACAGCACACAACAACAAGAATAACCTTGATATTAAACTAGACAAAGACTGTACACAAAAAATTAAAGGCCCTTTCCACTACTGATTAAAGATTTTTAAATCTTCATTTAAAATACTAGGAAACAAAATAGAGTAATTTTTTAAATAATATGTATCATGACCAAAATAAGTTAATCCCAGAAATCCAAGGTTGATTTAATACTAGAAAATCAAATAATATAATTTACTACATTAAAATAAAGAGAAAACCATAAGAGTATCCTATTAGATACATAAACAAAAGAATTACATAAAATTCTGTTCATGAATCAAAAACAAAAAGCCTTAGCAAAGGACATCTATCTGAGAAATAAAGTATCATCATACTTAATGGTAAAAATGCTCAAAATACTCCTAAATAACAAGACAGGGATGCCCTTTTCTTTTTCTTTTGCCACTCCTGTGGCAGCCAGTGCAATACAAAGAAAATGAAACACATGGTCTAAGGGCAAGAAATGAAAAAACATCTGCCATTATTTGCATATGATGTGATTATCCATGTTAAAAAAAAAGCACAGTAGAATCTACAGATAAATTATTGGAATAAAAGAGTCTAGGAAGTTTGATGGATTAAACAAATCAATATACAAAGGTTAAATGTAACACAACAGTAACAAGCAGCCATAAAATGTAATTTTTAAAATGATCTCATTTATAATAATACAAAAATTATAAAGTACTTAGGAATAAATCTAGCAATAGATATGCAAGGTTTTTTATGAAAAAAATAACAAACTTCATGGACAGGCATTAAAGAATACCCAAACAAATGAGAAAGACACAATCTTGGAAAGGAATGACGCAGATGTCAATTTTCCTCAAGTTCTTCTAAACTATGCAATTCTAATAGGAATCTCAACAGGGTTCTGTAGAACTTAACAAGTTGATTCCAAATGTATAACCCAACCCATTGCCAGCCAGTCAATTACAACTCATGGCGACCCTATAGGACAGAGCTGAACTGCCCCACAGTGTTTCCAAGGAGCAGCCGGTAGATTCAAACTGCTAACCTGTTGGTTAGCAGCTGAATGCTTAACCACTGCGCCACAAGGGGTTCTCCAAATGTATGCAGAAGAACAAATGCCATGAAGGGCTAAGACTTTCCTGAAGAATAATAACAGGGTATGCGTGTGCAGCTAGGGGAGGGAGAGTTTTAATCTACTAGATATCAAGTCTTGCTAGAAATCCATGCTAATTAAGGTAAGCACAGGGATTAAAAAAAAAAGACCACTAGAACAGGAGAGGCCAGAAACATAACAGTGTATATAATATACTTGATTTGTGACAATGCAGGCAATGCAGATCTATGGACAAAGAATGGATTTTTACAAATGGTTGTCCACATGGGGAAAAAAAATGAAATCAGATCCTTACCATACACAAAAATCAATTCCAGGTAGACTGACAACTTAAATGTGAAAGGCAAAACTATAAAACTTTTAGAAGGCAATAATAAAAAAAAAAAAAATCTTTACAATATCTATTTAGGAAAAGATTTAAGACAAAAATGCAAACCACAATGGAATATATTGCTAATTTTGACTTTAAAAATTAACAGTCTATGTTCATCAAAAGACATTAAAAAAAAAAAAAGGTAAAAAAACGAGCCACAAACTGGGCAAAAATATTTGCTACACATAAAAACGACTAGTCTCTAGCGTACATCAATGTTCACTGCAGCATTATTCAAATAGCCAAAAGGTGGAAACAACCTACAGATAACTGGATAAACAAATATGGTATATGCATACAATGGAATATTATTCGGCCTTAAAGAGATGAAGTGCTGACACATGTTACAACATGGGTGAACCTTGTAAACATTATGCTGAGTAAAGTTAGTCACACAAAGGGACTAATATCACATGATCCCACTTATATGAAACACTGAGAACAGGCAAATGGACAGAGACAAAAGTTCATTAGTGGTTAGAAGGGACTGAGGGAGGAGGGGATGGGGATTTATTGCTTAAGGGGCACTCGGTTTCTCTTTAAGGTGATGAAAACTTTTGGAATTAGATAGTGGTGATGGTTCCACAACATGGTGAATGTAATTAATCTCACTGAATTGTACACTTAAAAATGGTTAAAATGGCAATTCATATATATATATACATATATAGCCACAATAAATTTTTCTTAAAAGGCAAGTTACAGAACAGTAAAAAAAAAAAAAAAAAAAAAGATTAGTACCCATACTATTTAAAGAAGCCTATGAATTAATAAAGACAAACTTCTCAATAGAAAAGGGGCAAGAGGCTGGAACAGGTACTTTATAAAAGAGGAAACATATATGGCCCATAAACATGAAAATAGGCTCAACCTCATTTGTAACCTGCAAAAGGCAAAATAAAACCACAATGAGATTCCATTTACACCTGTCAGGCTGGGAAGAGCTTCTAAATTAAGCAATACCAGTGTCAGTGAGGTGGGAAGCAACCAAGGCTCCTGCCCACTCTGCCCACTGCTGTCAGCAGTGTTCCCTGGAAACAGTTTGGCGCTACCCAGGAAGGAAGAAGGTATATCCTCTGCCTGGGAACCCTAGAGGAACATTTGCACATGTGCACCAGGACATGATCAGCATAGTTTTTAATAGTAAAAAACAGGACATAACCTAAATATCCATTAGCTAGCAAGTGAATAAATAATATTTTTCCATGTAATACTAATTAACAGTAAGAATAGCAAATAACAAGCAAAACTAAACATATGTTATGGATACATATATATTATATATATATATAATATATATATATATATGGGTGACAAAACTATAAAGAAAAGCAAGGAATAATTAATAAAAAATTCAAGACAGTCATCACCTGAGGATGGAGTATATGAAAACAGAGATAGATGAGATGAGGAGGGGTACATTCAGGGGTTCCTATCATACAGGTAATCTGTAACTTCAGCTGGGTGGTAGGTAACAGATGTTTGCTTTATAATTACATAAACTATACAGATACAGATACATTTGATACACTTTTTTTGTATGCATGTATGCCTCACAATAAAAAACTTTTAAATAAATAAAAGGAAAGGAATAATTATTAGGAAAACAAAACTGTGCAACCTTACCAGGATAAGAATGATTCTGTTTATTTGATGAAATTTCTGAAAGAGTATCCAGGGAATCTGTTATTCTATGAATAAAACAAACAAATTATGCACATCATTAGAAATAGCTGATCTTAAGATTTAAGACTGGCTCTCAGCTGAGGTTCTCACATCAGTAGTTATTTATTTCATTCATTCAACCGACATTTACTGAGCATTGAGCACCTACCTATTCTGAGCTAGGAAGAGCTTCAATCTACTATGCTGACAAGTGATAATCAAACAGAAGAGATCCTTGTTATCCAAGGGTAATTAATACTGAAAAATCAACTTAAAGTGAATTCACTTGAAACAGACACATAACTTTAAATACTTCTTTGGAATTTTCTCTTCAAAAGTGAAACTAAAGAATATGCAAATAAGTTTATTTTATATTATATTTAACAAATGTTTGATTATAATTGTGAAAATATTACTAATTCTTAAAGTGAAAAAAAAAGACATTGGGCTGGCTTATCGACGTGTGTGATTATTCTGATAAAACTGTATGGTTAACACAATTCAACATCCTTCACTTCATATTTGACTCTAAGCAAAATCATAAAGGTCACTTTCTCCACAGGTTTCTCTTTATTTTTTGGTATTCAACTCATTCTTTTTTCTTTTTTATTAAGGCCAATCCTGACAGCCCCATTTTCTTCCAACTGTTTACTAATCCGAATCTGTGAGGCCTTCATTTGTCTATCACTTCCTCCAGCACACTTTATTACGGTCGAGAAATCCTGCAGCTCTTGCAGTATTTGCGACTTCATCTTGCAATTCATATGAATCATCTTTGCATGATAGACAGCATACAACAATCAATGAGAGACTGATGGACACAAAGAATATGACTTCACCTCTTGCGTGCAACACAGCGCTATAGCCAGAAGCCCACACCATCCTTCCACAGCAAAGATCAGAAAACTAAGTCAGAGCCACACGTCAATCCTGAAAACCTAAGCATGACATGAAGAGATGAAGAACTCAGGCAAGCACCGAATGGAATAAGAAACTGACCGAGAACAGAGAGCGAGGAGCGATACATGCAGAGGTCCCCTATCAGCTACCGCAGCACGGATCCACCATCTTGGACTCCTATCAGAGATCAGTAAACAGGGGGTACGAGAAAGAAGCTTCACAGAGCTTCCAAAAGGAGACAGAACAACTGGTAACCGGCGATATACGCTTTGCCACCCCCCAACTGTCTTCATCCCCACTTAGACTTCTCTGCTTCCTGCAGTCACAGTCTCTTGGCCGGGAAGCACCAGCTTCACCTGAGTGCCTTTTGTTGGCTGCTGGTATTGCTTTTTTCCACTTCTTTAGATTTCTTCCTTACCTCTCACCACCTCCCCTTCCTTTCTCTCAGATACCTGGCTCCGTGTATCATCTTTGCTTCTTCCGGAAAGGCTGTGAAACACCACTCAACTGTGAAACTGCTTCCCGGCCCGTGCTGCCACACTGGTGGGACCCCTGGGGCTTTTTTGTTTGCTCTGATTTGTTCTGTTTTGATTTGTTTGTTTGTTTCCTTTTTCTTTTCTTGGCTTGGGAGCCCATTTGAGCTGGGCAGTACCATGTGGCTTGAAAGCTACTCCCTTACTCTGCGCAGATGCACAGGGACATCCGTGGGGGCAGATTTTGTGTGTATGTGTGTGTCTTTGTTTTTTTTGTTTTTTTTTTTTTGGCTTTTGGTTTTTTTTTCTTGTTGTTTTCTTCTCTCTTATTACCCTTTTGTCTTTCTCCATGTCTAGTTTCTTGATTTATTCATTTTTTTCTTTTACCCTTTTTCTTTTTTTTGTTTTCATTTTTGTTTTTTCCCATTTCTCAGTCTCTCATCTCTCCACTCCAATAGCAAGCACCCTTAGCACTCTTTTTTGTTTAAGTGTATGTTTTTGGCTTCTGTTCCCCTCTCCTCTCTCTCATCCTTCCCATAACCATCTTAGCTCCACGCATCACAATCTACCCCCTCATTCCTGCCTACCTGCACTGTGCACTGAACATAACACTCCCAAGCAGCACAGGCACGGCCTACTGGAACCTACCCTGCACTGCTTTCTGGTCCGCACTGTCAGCCCTGGTACATGCCACAAACAACACATCCCAGCAACTCCCCTTCAGCTGAACCTGCCCTGCTGTACCATACCTGAGTGACTGACCCTGTCCATTGGAGAAGCAGGTGAAAAGTATCATGCCCACAGATGAGCAAACAACAAAGAACACACAGCCTACCGGTTCAGAGATAACCAAATAAAACAAAAAATCAGGACAAAACAAACCTACAATCAATAAATTAGGAAAATACCCACTGAATGCCCCAAAGACAGCAGGCAATATCAAAACATTTACAAAAACAAGACAGGATGGTTCCAGTAGGCGTCTGAAATAAAACACCAGAGACCTTCCAGTAAGGCACTAAACCTAATTGAGAGGGAATTCAAATCTCTAATATTCAGAATTATCCATGAGTTGAAGCAAAAAGTGACAAAAATGAGGAAAAAATAGACAAATTCATGGAAAAGGCAGACAAATTCATGGAAAATACAGACAAAAAAATGGAAGAATTCAAGAAAATAATACAGGAACAAAATGCTAAAATAAATTCACAACTAGAAATCATACAAAAACAACAATTAGAAATCCAAAAGATAAACAAGATTTCAGAAATGGACAGAGTCATAGAAGGGCTGAGAAGCAGGTTTGAAAGGATGGAAGACAGCATCAGTGAAACTGAAGACAAACACTTGGATACAACTCTGAGGAAATATCAGAAAAAACAACAAAGAAAAATGAAGAAACCCTGAGAATTATGTGGGATACAATCAAAAGCAAAAATTTGAGAGTGATTGGAGTTCCAGAAGAGGTGGAGAAGACAGAAAACACAGACAGGATCATTGAAGAACTGCCCCTATATCATGAAAGATGAAACACTGACAATCCAAGAAGCTCAACAAATGTGATATAGGATAGACCGCAAAAGAAAATCACCAATGCATATCATAATCACGCTCGCTAAAACCAAAGACAAACAAAAAATCCTGAAAGCAACTCGAGAAAAACAAAAAGTCCCACACAGACAAGAAAGAATAAGACTAAGTTCGGATTATTTGGCAGAAATCATGCAGGCAAGAAGGCAACGGGATGACATATATAAAACCTTGAAAGAAAAAAACTGTCAGCCAAGAATAATATATCCTGCAAAACTCTCGTTCAAATATGACGGCGAAATTAGGACATTTCCAGATAAACAGAAATTAAGGGACTATGTAAAAACCAAACCAAACTTACAAGACTTATTATAGGAAGTCCTTCTATCTGAGAACAAACAACATCAGATCACAGGCTGAATACAGGACACGGGATCGTACTAGCCAGATACCAACCTAGGAAATGAACTCTTAAGGACTATGCAAGACCAAAAGAATTACAACAGGGAACCAGAGAGGTTAATCTGTGAATAATAACAACATCAGAGCAATAAAAGAGGAAATAAACGGTGTAGGTATAGAACCTTCTAACGGAGAGGAGGCAAGGTGATACCAAGTAATAATAGACTGGTTCAAATCTAGGAATATAAGGGTAAATTTCAAGGTAACCACAAAGGAAGTTAACAAACCTACTCATCAAAATAAAGAGAAAAAACATAAAGTCTCAGTAAAAACAAAACCTACAAAAACAAAAGAAATGAAAAAAAAATCCACAAACAAAAGGAACTCAGCACAGGAGAGTAAGAGGAACAAAGAAAACGTCAGCATCACATAAAAAAGCACTACAAAATGAAATCCCACTCCTAGGAATATATCCTGGAGAAATAAGAGCCATCACACAAATAGACATAAGCACACCCATATTCATTGCAGCACTGTTCACAATAGCAAAAAGAGGGAAACAACCTAGAGGCTCATCAACAGATGAATGAATAAACAAACTATGGTACATACACACAATGGAGTATTATGCAAAGATAAAGAACAATGATGAATCTGTGAAGCATCTCAT